CGGCCCGCCACCGCCCCTAGGAGCGCTCATGGGGGCGCCATCGCACCTAGTAGGTCCCATAGGTGCGCCAACACCCTTTATGGAGGACCTCTGGGGGCGCCGCCGGCCTTGGGAGGGCCTCCTAGGGACGTCGCCGCCCCGATGATTGTCCATAAACGGAACCACGTATCTGGGAGGGCCCATGGAGGCGCCATTTCACTTGTAAGAACCCCTGGGATGCCATCATCCCTAAAAGGGCCGCTGTGGTAGCAGATACCCCGCAGAGGGCCTCTGTGGGCACCAATGCCCTTGAGAGGGCGTTTTTGTTCGACACCACCCCAGGGAATTTTCCTGGAGGCACCACCACTCCTGGGAGGGCCCTTGAGGGCGCTGACGCCCCTTAGAAGGCACCTAGGGATGCCGCCGGAACTGGGAAAGTCCTTGGGGGAGCTGACTGCCCTGGGAGGGCCCCTGAGGGCGCCCCCACACCTGTGAGGTCCATTGGTGGCGCACCAGCACCTAGCAGGTCTCCTGGGGGCAGTTGTTTTTGCTTTATTTAGAACTCTTGGAGATATTTTGACGTTAAATAAATACGATTCCAATCGCATTTCCAGTATCATTTCATCCTAAACAATGTAAAGCAGAACAAATATCCAACAGCAAAACATAAGTTGGGGTGTTGTGTTGACTGACTGCTGTTCTCCTATTGGCTGTAGTTCGGTGGATTTACATTTTAGTCCACCAATCACAGTTAAGTATGGGATTGTTGGTCATGCACGACAGAACGACCATACCAAGCTATAGAGCTCCCAGGAGGGTCGCCTCTGGTAGGGCCCTTGGGGACTCTGCCGTTCCTGGGAGGGCCACTAAGGGCGCCACCGCCCTTGGGAGGGTTCGTGAGGGCGCTGCCACACCTTGGTAGGTCCCGTAGGGGCAAGCTGCCCAGGGCAGGGCCCCAGCTGCTCCTGGGCGGGCACTCAAGGGCGCCTCCGACTATGGGAGGGCCCTTCGGGCCCGCCACCGCCCCTAGGAGCGCTCATGGGGGCGCCATCGCACATAGTAGGTCCCATAGGTGCGCCAACACCCTTTATGGAGGACCTCTGGGGGCGCCGCCGGCCTTGGGAGGGCCTCCTAGGGAAGTCGCCGCCCCGATGATTGTCCATAAACGGAACCACGTATCTGGGAGGGCCCATGGAGGCGCCTTTTCACTTGTAAGAACCCCTGGGATGCCATCATCCCTAAAAGGGCAGCTGTGGTAGCAGATACCCCGCAGAGGGCCTCTGTGGGCACCAATGCCCTTGGGAGGGCGTTTTTGTTCGACACCACCCCAGGGAATTTTCCTGGAGGCACCACCACTCCTGGGAGGGCCCTTGAGGGCGCTGACGCCCCTTAGAAGGCACCTAGGGATGCCGCCGGAACTGGGAAAGTCCTTGGGGGTGCCGACTGCCCTGGGAGGGCCCCTGAGGGCGCCCCCACACCTGTGAGGTCCATTGGTGGCGCACCAGCACCTAGCAGGTCTCCTGGGGGCAGTTGTTTTTGCTTTATTTAGAACTCTTGGAGATATTTTGACGTTAAATAAATACGATTCCAATCGCATTTCCAGTATCATTTCACCCTGAACAATGTAAAACCCAGAACAAATATCAACAGCAAAACATAAGTTGGGGTATTGTGTTGACGTACTCCTATTGGCTGTAGTTCGGTGGATTTACATTTTAGTCCACAATCACAGTTAAGTATGGGATTGTTGGACATGCACGACAGAACACTGACCTTACCAAGCTATAGAGGCTCCCAGGAGGGTCGCCTCTGGTAGGGCCCTTGGGGACTCTGCCGTTCCTGGGGAGGGCCACTAAGGGGCACCACCGCCAGGGAGGGTTCGTGAGACTGCCACACCTTGGTAGGTCCATGGGGCAAGCTGCCCAGGGCAGGGCCCCAGCTGCTCCTGGGCGGGCAGTCAAGGGCGCACTCCGCCTATGGGAGGGCCCTTAGGGCCCGCCACCGCACCTAAGGCTCATGGGGCGCCATCGCACCTAGTAGGTCCCATAGGTGCCAACACTACTATGGAGGACCTCTGGGGGCGCCGCCGCCCTTGGGAGGGCCTCCTAAGGACGTCGCAGCCCCGATGATTGTCCATAAAGGGGACTATGTATCTGGGAGGGCCCCTGGAGGCTCCGTTTCACCTGTAAGAACCCCTGGGATGCCATCACCCTAAAAAAGGACCCCTGTGATAGTAGATACCCCTCAGAGGGCCTCTGTGGGCACCACTGCCCTTGGGAGGGCGTTTGTGGGCGACACCACCCCAGGGAATTTTCCTGGAGGCACCACCACTCCTAGGAGGGACCTTGGGGGCGCTGCCGCCCCTTAGAAGGAACCTAGAGATGCCGCCGGAACTGGGAAGGTCCTTGGGGGTGCCGACAGCCCTGGGAGGGCCCCTGAGGGCGCCCCCACGCCTGTGAGGTCCATTGGCGGCGCACCAGCACCTAGCAGGTCTCCTGGGGGCAGTTGTTTTTGCTTTATTTAGAACTCTTGGAGATATTTTGAGGTTAAATATATACGATGCCAATCGAATTTCCAGTATCATTTCACCCTGAACAATGTAAAGCAGAACAAATATCCAACAGCAAAACATAAGTTGGGGTGTTGTGTTGACTGACTGCTGTTCTCCTATTGGCTGTAGTTCGGTGGATTTGCATTTTAGTCCACCAATCACAGTTAAGTATGGGATTGTTGGACATGCACGACAGAACGACCTTACCAAGCTATAGAGCTCCCAGGAGGGTCGCCTCTGGTAGGGCCCTTGGGGACTGTGCCGTTCCTGGGAGGGCCACTAAGGGCGCCACCGCCCTTGGGAGGGATCGTGAGGGCGCTGCCACACATTGGTAGGTCCCGTAGGGGCAAGCTGCCCAGGGTAGGGCCCTAGCTGCTCCTGGGCGGGCACTCAAGGGCGCCTCCGCCTATAGAGAGGGCCTTCGGGCCACCACCGCCCCAAGGGCGCTCATGGGGCGCCATCGCACCTAGTAGGTCCATGCGTGCGCCAACACCCTTTATGGGACCTCTGGGGGCGCCGCCGGCTTGGAAGGGCCTCCTAGGGACGTCGCCGCCCCGATTATTGTCCATAAAGGGGAACCACGTATCTGGGAGGGCCCATGGAGGCGCCATTTTCACTTGTAAGAACCCTGGGATGCCATCATCCTAAAAGGGCCACTGTGGTAGCAGAATTACCTGAAGACTCTGTAGGCCACCAATGCCCTTGGGAGGCGTTTTTTGTTCAGAAACCCCAGGGAGTTTTCCTGGAGGCACCACCACTCCTGGGAGGGCCCTGGGGGCGCTGCAGCCTCTTAGAAGGCACCTAGGGATGCCGCCGGAACTGGAAAGGTCCTTGGGGGCGCCGACAGCCCTGGGAGGGCCCCTGACGGCGCCCCCACACCTGTGAGGTCCATTGGTGGCACACCAGCACCTAGCAGGTCTCCTGGGGGCAGTTGTTTTTGCTTTACTTAGAACTCTTGGAGATATTTTGACGTTAAATAAATACGATTCCAATCGCATTTCCAGTATCATTTCATCCCGAACAATGTAAAGCAGAATAAATATCCAACAGCAAAACATAAGTTCGGGTGTTGTGTTGACTGACTGCTGTTCTCCTATTGGCTGTAGTTCGGTGGATTTACATTTTAGTCCACCAATCACAGTTAAGTATGGGATTGTTGGACATGCACGACAGAACGACCTTACCAAGCTATAGAGCTCCCAGGAGGGTCGCCTCTGGTAGGGCCCTTGGGGACTCTGCCGTTCCTGTGAGGGCCACTAAGGGCGCCACCGCCCTTGGGAGAGTTCGTGAGGGCGCTGCCACCCCTGGTAGGTCCCGTAGGGAGAAGCTGCCCAGGGCAGGGCCCCAGCTGCTCCTGGGCGGGCTCTCAAGGGCGCCTCCGCCAATAGGAGGGCCCCCAGGTTCGCCACCGCCCCTGGGAGCGCCAATGCCCCTAACGAAAGCCCGGGCTGTGGGAGCCGCTGCCCCTGGGAGCGCTATCGTCGGTGACAGGCACCCTCGGGACGACACTTCTTCTGGAAGGAACCTTGAAGGCGCCACCGCCCCTGGGAGGGACCATGCGGATGCCATCGCACCTGTGAGGTCCATTGGTGGCGCACCAGCACCTAGCAGGTCTCCTGGGGGCAGTTGTTTTTGCTTTATTTAGAACTCTTGGAGATATTTTGACGTTAAATAAATACGATTCCAATCGCATTTCCAGTATCATTTCATCCTGAACAATATAAAGCAGAACAAATATCCAACAGCAAAACATAAGTTGGGGTGTTGTGTTGACTGACTGCTGTTCTCCTATTGGCTGTAGTTCGGTGGATTTACATTTTAGTCCACCAATCACAGTTAAGTATGGGATTGTTGGACATGCACGACAGAACGACCTTACCAAGCTATAGAGCTCCCAGGAAGGTCGCCTCTGGTAGGGCCCTTGGGGACTCTGCCGTTCCTGGGAGAGGCCACTTAGGGCGCCACCGCCATTGGGAGGGTTCGTGGGGGCTGCCACACATTGGCGGTAGGTCCCTGAGCACGCTGCCCAGGCAGGGCCCCAGCTGTTCCTGGGCGGGCACTCAAGGGCACCTCCCGCCTATGGGAGGGCCCTTAGGGTCGCCACCGCCCTAGGAGCGCTCATGGGGAACCATCGCACCTAGTAGGTCCCATGGGTGCGCCCAGCACCCTTTATGGAGGACCTCTGGGGCGCCGCCGGCTGCCAGGAGGGCCTCCCTAGGGACGTCGCCGCCCCGATGATTGTGTCCATAAAGGGAACCACGTATCTGGGAGGGCCATGGAGCGCCATTTTCACTTGTAAGAACCCTGGGATGCCATCATCCTAAAAGGAGCCGCTGTGTGTAAGATACCCATAGAGGGCCTCTCTGTGAGCACCAATGCCCTTGGAGGCGTTTTTTGTTCGACACCACCCCAGGGAGTTTTCCTGGAGGCACCACCACTCCTGGGAGGGCCCTGGGGGCGCTGCAGCCTCTTAGAAGGCACCTAGGGATGCCGCCGGAACTGGAAAGGTCCTTGGGGGCGCCGACAGCCCTGGGAGGGCCCCTGACGGCGCCCCCACACCTGTGAGGTCCATTGGTGGCACACCAGCACCTAGCAGGTCTCCTGGGGGCAGTTGTTTTTGCTTTACTTAGAACTCTTGGAGATATTTTGACGTTAAATAAATACGATTCCAATCGCATTTCCAGTATCATTTCATCCCGAACAATGTAAAGCAGAATAAATATCCAACAGCAAAACATAAGTTCGGGTGTTGTGTTGACTGACTGCTGTTCTCCTATTGGCTGTAGTTCGGTGGATTTACATTTTAGTCCACCAATCACAGTTAAGTATGGGATTGTTGGACATGCACGACAGAACGACCTTACCAAGCTATAGAGCTCCCAGGAGGGTCGCCTCTGGTAGGGCCCTTGGGGACTCTGCCGTTCCTGTGAGGGCCACTAAGGGCGCCACCGCCCTTGGGAGAGTTCGTGAGGGCGCTGCCACCCCTGGTAGGTCCCGTAGGGAGAAGCTGCCCAGGGCAGGGCCCCAGCTGCTCCTGGGCGGGCTCTCAAGGGCGCCTCCGCCAATAGGAGGGCCCCCAGGTTCGCCACCGCCCCTGGGAGCGCCAATGCCCCTAACGAAAGCCCGGGCTGTGGGAGCCGCTGCCCCTGGGAGCGCTATCGTCGGTGACAGGCACCCTCGGGACGACACTTCTTCTGGAAGGAACCTTGAAGGCGCCACCGCCCCTGGGAGGGACCATGCGGATGCCTTCGCACCTGTGAGGTCCATTGGTGGCGCACCAGCACCTAGCAGGTCTCCTGGGGGGCAGTTGTTTTTGCTTTATTTAGAACTCTTGGAGATATTTTGACGTTAAATAAATACGATTCCAATCGCATTTCCAGTATCATTTCATCCTGAACAATGTAAAGCAGAACAAATATCCAACAGCAAAACATAAGTTGGGGTGTTGTGTTGACTGACTGCTGTTCTCCTATTGGCTGTAGTTCGGTGGATTTACGTTTTAGTCCACCAATCACAGTTAAGTATGGGATTGTTGGACATGCACGACAGAACGACCTTACCAAGCTATAGAGCTCCCAGGAGGGTCGCCTCTGGTAGGGCCGTTGGGGACTCTGCCGTTCCTAGGAGGGCCACTAAGGGCGCCACCGCCCTTGGGAGGGTTCGTGAGGGCGCTGCCACACATTGGTAGGTCCCGTAGGGGCAAGCTGCCCAGGGCAGGGCCCCAGCTGCTCCTGGGCGGGCACTCAAGGGCGCCTCCGCCTATGGGAGGGCCCTTAGGGCCGCCACCGCCCCTAGGAGCGCTCATGGGGGCGCCATTGCTCCTAGTAGGTCCCATAGGTGCGCCAACACCCTTTATGGAGGACCTCTGGGGGCGCCGCCGGCCTTGGGAGGGCCTCCTAGGGACGTCGCCGCCCCGATGATTGTCCATAAAGGGAACCACGTATCTGGGAGGGCCCATGGAGGCGCCATTTCACTTGTAAGAACCCCTGGGATGCCATCATCCCTAAAAGGGCCGCTGTGGTAGCAGATACCCCGCAGAGGGCCTCTGTGGGCACCAATGCCCTTGGGAGGGCGTTTTTGTTCGACACCACCCCAGGGAATTTTCCTGCAGGCACCACCACTCCTGGGAGGGCCCTTGAGGGCGCTGACGCCCCTTAGAAGGCACCTAGGGATGCCACCGGAACTGGGAAAGTCCTTGGGGGTGCCGACTGCCCTGGGAGGGCCCCTGAGGGCGCCCCCACACCTGTGAGGTCCATTGGTGGCGCACCAGCACCTAGCAGGTCTCCTGGGGGCAGTTGTTTTTGCTTTATTTAGAACTCTTGGAGATATTTTGACGTTAAATAAATACGATTCCAATCGCATTTCCAGTATCATTTCATCCTGAACAATGTAAAGCAGAACAAATATCCAACAGCAAAACATAAGTTGGGGTGTTGTGTTGACTGACTGCTGTTCTCCTATTGGCTGTAGTTCGGTGGATTTACGTTTTAGTCCACCAATCACAGTTAAGTATGGGATTGTTGGACATGCACGACAGAACGACCTTACCAAGCTATAGAGCTCCCAGGAGGGTCGCCTCTGGTAGGGCCCTTGGGGACTCTGCCGTTCCTGGGAGGGCCACTAAGGGCGCCACCGCCCTTGGGAGGGTTCGTGAGGGCGCTGCCACACATTGGTAGGTCCCGTAGGGGCAAGCTGCCCAGGGCAGGGCCCCAGCTGCTCCTGGGCGGGCACTCAAGGGCGCCTCCGCCTATGGGAGGGCCCTTAGGGCCGCCACCGCCCCTAGGAGCGCTCATGGGGGCGCCATCGCACCTAGTAGGTCCCATAGGTGCGCCAACACCCTTTATGGAGGACCTCTGGGGGCGCCGCTGGCCTTGGGAGGGCCTCCTAGGGACGTCGCCGCCCCGATGATATTCCATATAGGAACCACGTATCTGGGAGGGCCCATGGAGGCGCCATTTCACTTGTAAGAACCCCTGGGATGCCATCATCCCTAAAAGGGCAGCTGTGGTAGCAGATACCCCGCAGAGGGCCTCTGTGGGCACCAATGCCCTTGGGAGGGCGTTTTTGTTCGACACCACCCCAGGGAATTTTCCTGGAGGCACCACCACTCCTGGGAGGGCCCTTGAGGGCGCTGACGCCCCTTAGAAGGCACCTAGGGATGCCGCCGGAACTGGGAAAGTCCTTGG